GTGAAGCAGAGGCCAATGAGATGGAGACCAGTATGAAAGAAGAAACGTCGTGTAAAATTAAAAGGCTTTGTTGTATTTTAACTTTGTGTTTATAAATTCTGTACATTTAATTAAGTTATGGTTAATTATTTATTGGTTTAATGTAAGTAGCTATTGTTCGGGACGAACAATACTAAGAAGGGGCAGTGTTACGACAGCGGAAGTCACGTGACGCTGATATCGCATGCGTGATTGAGTTTCTCGAATTATTAGGGAACTCCTCGAATTTTGGCGACCCCTCTTCTTTAGTATATACGCCTGGTAGCGGAAGCCAGCGGAGTAAGATAAGTGTATGTTTTGCACTCGTAGCGAAGTTATTGAGATTGTCAATCGCTGTGATTTATAGTGTGTATTATAAATTTGTTAAGTTTAAATTGACGAGAAACGTATTGACTGTGGACTTTCTGTGTACTAAAAGTTTGTATCGAGAAAGAATAAACTGGCTTAATCAAGAAGGGACTTGTAACGCTGAAGTTCCTCGGAAAGAATTTATACCGGAAATTAACAAAGAAGCAGATACGCAACAATATTCTCTGTTTGGTTCTGAATACAACCATAGACTGCAGTTTTGCAGATAGCCATGTCTTTACCACCTGTTCCTGAGTTGTGTCCAGAACTAAAAGCTTGGTGTAGTAATTTACCCTGTAAATACAAAATCTAATATTTAGGTTCTAAGGGGAGATGTGGTTTACTTGGAAATACTGTAAATGTTATCTACAAATTGACCATTGTACGATTGTTATGACGTTCCTTACTTTTTTATGTCTTGAGAGTCTTTCAGTCTTGCAACTAAAAGGGATTTGAATTTGAATTTTGTTTTACCTTACACTGTTTGTATATAGGAGTGTGTAAAGGGAACTGTGGTTTGGCTGTGTTAAACATTCTGCCAATTGCAAATTGATCACTAAACAATCACGCATTTAAACTGTTTGTTATTTTCATTCTATGGGCAAACTTTTATGACATCTTAAGAATTTCTACCAAGACAGAGAAGTCTGGGCACACAAAAACAGGAAAATTGTGTATCTGGCATGTGGGTGTGATTCCCGATGGTTTGGCCACAAAGAATCAGATTTTCAAACAGAAAATAAAATGTTCAACGAAAAACCTCTACAACTTACAGCACAAACAATAAAACCACATAACACAATTCGGCATAAGATTACAGATTATGAAAGGTCGAGTGACACCAATTTTTGTACCAATTTTGTTTAGAAAACAACACACATTACAATTTTGAAAGTAAAAATGTGTTAAGAATTCTTCGTAGGAGGAATTGAGACTATATATGTATCTATAAAATTCATTTATACTGTTACGTCTCCGTTTGTTAATTGTTTTTCAGTAACTTCGTTCCGACGAAACTTAAGCGACACAAGTCCTTTCTTAATAAAACTAGTTTATTCTTTCCGAATATAACTTTACCGATACACTTAACTTCAACAATCGCGCTAAAACAAACGCTAATCAACGAACGTCAACAATACTTCTGACTGCAGTTCAATTACTCACTATCTACACACACATTACATTACCTTATCACGTTGTCCCCTCTTATATATACCCGCCTACCCTATATCTAGTAAGAACTAGAACATTCGCCAAGATAAGGGATAGTTCTAGAAACGTGGCGTCACTGTAGTCATGTGATCTCGATGACGCAACAATACTTTCTTCTATTATTATAATATTTGTTCTGAATTTCTCAGTTGTTTCTCTGTACGTGTAGTTTCACATACCAGTGGTTAAAAAAGTCATTACGTTATGTCATTTTAACTGCCTTTGTTCTTGTCCTTCTATTGAAGTCTGCCCATGGAAAGAATGTAAGCAGCAGTATTCTTAATGGTAGTCCAAATGGTATATTAATGTGATTACATTTTCCTTGATGCTTTAATGAGAAAGACTAGTCACATGGATGGGCCCCCAGTACCACAGCGGTACAACGCTAGAATCCGGGTTTCGATACCCGTGGTGGGCAGAGCACAGATAGCCCATTGTGTAGTTTTGTGCTTAATTACAAACAAACAAACACATGGATACTGCTAGTCACTCTGGGAAAATCTACAGTTGTACTCTGACAGTTTTTATTATTCGTTTGTTTAGCCTTGCGAACCCCTTTTGGATCAGAACCCCAGTTTCTGAAACGCTGGTATAAGGGATGAGCATTTATATACCACAAAGACGCAAAATCATTAATTGAATTGTACCATATCAGTTGTATTTCTTTTATTCAGTATTATATTATGAATAAATATTTTAAATTACAAACAGTTCTTGCACTTACTTTTGCTTCGAATACAATTTCCAACGTAGTGCTGTAATAGTAGTGCGAATGACCAATATGAAAACAACTTCAGCCTGGTGGTTTAGTAGGTATGTATTTGAAATGTGAGATTCCTTGTCGTTTGTACATCCTGTGTACGTCAGCCACAATATCAACACATAGATATATATATTTGAGGCCCAATAATTGAAAGGTAGATAAAATAACAAGAACAAGTGAAAGAGATGTCTAGTCTTATTACTGATACCCAGAATCATGTATCGTTATTAATAGAGACTGTAGATTTTGCAGCTAAGAAACACAAATCTCAGAAAAGAAAGGATATTGCACAAACTCCATATATCAATCACCCTATAGGTGAGTAAACGTTGGAACTTTAAGGCCTACTACTACACTTCAGCTAAACGGTAAATTATAAAATAATGATTATGCTTTAGCTATTAGTATTACTATAATTTTTATATCATAAACTCTATGAAGACTAAACTTCTACTTCTAGCTAACTTGGTATTGCCATTAAATGATTAATGCTATAAGCATTAGGGTTTAAGTTAATATTAACGAAATAGTGCAAAGTTAATATGATTAACGGTATTAGACTTAAGAGTTAAGGCTTCCTTTGCCTAAATATTTGTATTAAGAAAGCATAGAGTTGTTTTAAATGAGGTTTAATATAACGATTAATGTTACATGTGACATAGGTGTGTATAACACTATAGTATATGTGTTTGTTTGTGTGTGTGTGGGGGGGGAGTCTTCACTGCTCGTTGTTCTTTCTTGATTTATGTCAACTAGTTGAGAATAACCGTTAAGGAAGCAAAAATTGTATAAAGGACAATTGCAGATAATGTTCCCCTTCCTCTTTTGTTTTGCTACGAAAATTTGAAATCCCCAATGTCCTCATTAGATGCTAATTGCATACCCTGCTTTGTGGAAGGTAACAATTGACTTATTTAATAGATTAAGTACTTAAATTCAAAGCCAAAAGTCTGTAAAAAAAAAAGTGGAAATGTGTCCTCTTTCAGGTTTTTTATCCCCCTTTCTATGCAAAAACCTAAAAGTAAAACAAAATAACCCATGTACACTGTCAGACTGTTTCCAGTTACTATGTCAAAAGTTATGGTAATCCAGCCAGCCAACTCTGGGTGATAGATGTTAACACATACACATACAGACTGTTTTTCAAGTAAAACGACATAGATAAAATAATCATTGCTTGATGTGGGAATGATACTGCTGCTTTACAAATAGATTTTGATCATTTGGTGAGTTGAGCAAGTAACTGACAGATGGATTTTCATTATAATGGTGTATGTGGTTTATCTTAATTTAAAGTATTATGGATAATTCTGATAGGAGTCACCTTAATAATAATAGTATTATAGAAGAAAAATATTTTGGTGTTTTGGATGATTTGTCTTTTCAACCATCTAAGTAGTATGTTGTTGCTGATGGTAAGACAAATAAGATTTGGGGGTTGTATTTGTAGAAATATAAAATCAGTTCTAAAGAGGTTATTATTTAATTGTATAGGTTGCTGGTTAAGTTTCATTTGGAATATTCACTCTTGGGCTCTTTATCATAAGAAGGATATCGAATTATTGGAAAGGGGTTCAAAGAATGTTGCTAGGATGATACCTGGGATGGAAACTTCTTCATAGAAGGACACTTTAAGATCTCTGAAATTGCCTTCTCTTGAAAAAATAAAAGAGTTACGCAGTATCTGACGTTTTTAAGGTTGTTAAGGGAATTGAAAGAATTCATGCATCATCACAAAATCTACTGAATAACACAACACTTTCAAACTCTGGTACATTATAACTCTTAACACTTGCAAAGGGTAACAAGCTTGAAGCAATATCCAATACAACTGGGTGATTGGCAAAATTTACTAATTGATTACTGCTTATGTAGATGAGGGGTAAGGGTGTAAATTTGGTTTATCTGGATTTTCAGAAAGCATTTGACAAGGTGCCAGATAAAAGGACTTGTACAAAAATATCTCTTCTAGGTGTGGGGGATAAGTTAGCAAATTGGATAGAACAGTGGCTGGATAGAAGAAAGCAGAGGGTTGTTACAAATGGAGTTCAGTCAAACTGGATTAATGTCACAAGTGGGGTACCTCAGGGCTCAGTCGTAGGATCTTTGCTCTTTTTGATTTATATCAATGACATAGACGAAGGAATAGTCAATAAATTACTTAAATTTGCAGATGATATTAAGGTCGTGGGTGTTTCTAGCTGTGAAGAGGATGCTGTTGATTTACAAAAGGTTGGTCAAATAAATGGCAGATGGATTTTAATTATAATAAATGCAAGATAATGCATGTGGGTTATCATAATTTGAATTATAAGTATAATTTGGATGGGAATAACCTTAACAGTGTTACGAAGGAAAGGAATCCAAGCAGTGTGCTGTTGCTAGTGGTAGGGCAAATAGGATTTTAGGTTGTATCTTCAGAAATATTGGATACAAGTTTAAAGAGGTTATAATTTCATTGTACAGGTCACTGGTTAGGCTACATTTGGAGTAATGACATTGAATTGTTGGAAAGGGTTCAGAGAAGGGTTACTAGAATGGTGCCTGGGATGGAAAGGTTGTTAAGATTGTAAAGGGAATTGATAGTGTTAAGGGCTAGGGGACACAAATATTTTTAAAGTGTAGGAGTCATCTTCATGCAAAAACAGTTTCATTTTTCTAACAGGTGGATTGACTTTTGGAATGGGTTGCTTTTGAATGTTGTAGAGGCTGTAAAATTTGAGAAAAAGATTGATGAGTATATGAATGATAATGGCCGGCTTTAAGATTTTTTAAAAATTTATTTAATTTAGTTTAGAGGATGGAAAAGCCGAGATGGACCAGTAGGTCCCATGTTGTCCCAAAACATTATATTATGTTATTAATTGTCAGGCTTGTTAATTGATTGCATTCAATTATTACATTACTCTCATGAGACTTGGATAATTAGAATAATCAGAAACACTAATTTTGATTAGTGAATTATTTTCATGAGCCAAGACACTGATAAATTAAGGTAAGCAATCTTGAATTAATTATAATAGCAATATTTTTGTTACTTAGATAGTTGGAAAAGTCAAAAACAGTAATAATCAAAAAACTAATAACAGTGATTTCGGTTAGTTGATTTTTTTGTGACATTAATCAACTTAACTGTAATTTTGATTAATTTATTATTTTACATTACACTAATTGATGTAATCAATATTCATAGATGACCTGGTATGGCCAGGTGGTTAGGGCACTCGCTTCGCAATCTGAGGGTCACGGGTTCAAATCCCCATCACACCAAAACACGCTCACCCGGTGTCCAAACTAGGACGTCAGTCATATTCCCAGATACTCACCTCCAATAGAATTTGGAGATGTGAGAAACACCATACAAAACTAGTACTACTCATAGGTAATCAATTATATCAGTTAACCTTATGTGTACAACAGGGTCAAAGTTCGGAGTGAATAACCTTTTACACAGTTGCATTCAAAATTTGATTAAACAGTGTATGTCAATAAACTTGGCATCAGTACTACCTAAGCTATAATTTACTAGTTTTAGAATGAAACATTAAGAAAATTCTCTCACCGCACCCTTCCCTATTACATGATGAGCCTGGCTTTGATTTTTCCCTATCAGAATTTTATAACATTAGAAACACAAACTACTTTCAATAACAAGAAAGAATATAAAATCTGAACCTCATACTTTCTTGGTTTGCTGAAATATCAATAAATTTGTAAAACCACTAGAGAAGCCCTTCCCATCTTTTCATGCCAATTATATCCATTCAAGTCTACTTGTCTGGTGGACATGTTTATAACCAATAGAAAGAACATATGATATACAGGAATCTTAAGACTGTTTGTTTGTATTTGGTGGATAAAGATGGTAGTTTGCAAGAAAAGCTTGATGTGTATTAAGTGAAGTCATTGTTCCTAGCAGTAAGAGAATGTTTTTAACCTACTTATAGCTTAGTTAGGAAGCCTAGCAAATTATAGTTGTTTTGGAATATTCTATTCAAGTGCCTGGTATATTTTTTGTGATCTATATTTTGTGATGAATATTTGAAAGCTGCATGCACAATTATTTGGTCAACCAACATATTTAGAAAAAAAGTAGTTACTGAAGTAAGGCATCAAAATGCAAAGGTGCTTCAATGCATATATAAATGATGATTTTTTTGTTTTTATGTATATCTTGTACTGATAGTTATATATATTTAACAGAAGTAATAAAATATAAAACTTAAAAAAATTCTTAGGCTAGGTAGCAAAAATAGAATAATTCAAAATTTTCGGAACTTGACCTTGTGAGCTCAGACTGTGTTACTTGATTGGTTTTGTTTACTTTATGTGTGTGTGGTGGGGGGGGGGTAGGTGCAAGAGGAGATAGTGCAGATGAAATATTAATCTAACTTGTCTTTTAAATGATTATAGTATAATAGACATATATACATACACATATATGTAGAAAAATGTTTTGTTTCTCTGAAGGTGTAGCACGTATACTTACTCTTGAAGGTGGTGTGACTGATTTGAATGTTATTCAGGTGAGTAATCAAAACTTTCTATAGTATAACATAATAAAGTTCCATATAATCAGTGTGTTCCACTTATACAGGTTTTTTATACACTAAAATGACTTACAATATGCAAGTCAACATCTTATGTAACAACAACAACTGAGATAAAGTTGTGGTTTAACAGCTTGCATCAGAACTAACTTTTTTTATTGTTTAGCATTCTGTAGGTAGTGTGATGTTATCAAAAATTGATCTCCTTTGGGAATGGTGTGTAACAACCCTTTCGAAACCAAATTATTCATTGTTCATACATTCAGATCATAAAAAGGTGTTCAGCTAGGGGATTTGGAATTTTGAAGCTGGGATATTCCTTGTACTTAATGGCATTGGAAAATAAAAGAGAATATGAATCAACTTGGACCATCAGAGTCATCCAAGAAAGAGACCTAGAACAAGTTGTACCCCAGCCATGGTAAGCAATATACAATGTCTTGTAAACAGTGAGGAACTATGAACACAAAGGCAATAGTATGCAACATAATCAAGAAGGATATTCGCTTGGAAACAAGGCCAACAGGCTATGGATTCACCAAGAAAAGGCTTCCAGTTAGAGCTTGATGATTGGCGAAATTTGCTAATTGATTAAGTGTCATGCTCATTAATCAATTACATTCAACTAATCAATTATTCTCATTTGAGACTTGGATAGATGGAGAAATAAAAAATAGTAAATTTGATTAGTTAATTATTTTTTTGAGTTGTGAAACTGATTGATTAACCCTATGACTCCCAGCTATGTGTTTTGCACATAGGTAAGGACACTCTCGTCATACTTTGTTCCAAAAATAAAACTAGTGGATGAAATTGTCTTAAATTTGACAAGAACTTTCCTAAAAGTACATAGCTTTAAAAAAATAAAATATTTAATTTTGATTTTTTTCTACTATTTCTAATTAAAATTTGTTATTTAATGTAGTTATTTTCACTCAGACTGAATAGTTTACCTGCAATGTGATTTTCATGTTAAGTTTAATAATACTATATTTTCTCTTACAGTTTTCATATTTTACTTGCATAATCTCTAGAGCCTCTTAAATGAATATCAAAAGTGTTTTTAAGGTGAATGTTTATATTTTCCATTTTCTCTGCCATATCACTAACTCTAGCAATTATCATCAACATACAGTGCAAGGAAATGTTTCAAATTAAGAAATGGAAATGTATACATACCTTTTTATCTTTCCATTGAATAATCTTAAAATATCTCCTTTGGGTCATATACATAATTTCATGACTTTACATTTTCATTTATAGTTTATTTTTAATGTTTATTTTCGTTTGGTGGTCTTTATCTTTGATTATTTATGTCGACACACGTCAGCAGATGCCCAGGGGCAATATAATGTTATGATTGGCAGAGACGCTTTTGCCTCAGGAAAAATGTTTTGAGTTTGCCTATTTTTCTAATCCTCAAGGAATGAGGCAAAGATTAGAAATATTTAGAAAATCATTAAACCTTTCAAATGTGAATTTTAAAACACAAATAATACATAGTTAACTAAAATTTAAAGGTAAAACTGGAATGCAGTTTAACTTTCTATCAGACTACTATGTATAAGGCAAGAAAAAATAGCCAAGGACTAGAGACACTGATCTCAACAATGGACTTAGCGGCAGTTTGCTTTCTGTTTGTAAACTCATTTATTGCCTATGTTTTCTGCTAAGCTTGAGACATTAAAAGTGAGAAATCTGCTCTTTATATTGGTTATAAGCATGCCATTCAAGTTATAACTGGCCCTTAGCAACACTGCTTCTACTTCAAAAGTGGGTGTAGCTTATATTGAACTTGGAAAATTTTTAGATATGTTTCTTCTGAGGCCAGTTCTTGGAACTTGACTCAATTTACTGTAAACAAACTATATATGTGTACTTTGATTGTCTGCACAAAAATATCTACATTACCCACAGTAGAGCTGAAATAGAAGAAACAAAAGTTATTTTTAACCATGGGCACATCAAGTGACAATAAAACAAGCTTTAATCACTGTTTTAGAGGTTTGTTTTGAAATAAAGGAATAAAACTTAGATAATATAAAACATTGAATTATAACATATTTAATAATAATAATTTCATTAAAATACATTGATAGTAAAGTGGTTTAATTAAGTTTTGAATGTAATTCAGTAACACTTTGTGACATGTGCAGAAAGAAATTTAAAGAGTGTTCCATGTCTTATAGGGTTATCGTTAAGCTGAACAACCTTGTATTAATTGAAAATAATAATGAGAAATCATAATGACAAGAAAAGTTTGGACATGGCTTGAGTGGGTAATGAAGAAAACATTATTATAAATGTACAAAATTTTGACAAAATTATGTCATCATTAGGTAGAAGTAGTTTACACAGACACAGGATATGTATACAGTATGGAACAAAGAGGTCACATGACAGGAGATTGCTTAACAGCTTAGTAAAGGTATCTTGGTACCCCGGGGGTTGATTTAGAGTAGGGTTGTTTTTCAGTTAAGGTAGCTTCTTTCATTTTGCATTTGTCTATGTTTGGTTCTTTGTTTAAAATTAAGGTGTTTTGTATAGATATACAGTGGTTTTTTAGTTGTAATGTTAGTAAACATGGTTGTTTATTATGCTCAGTGAATGTGATTTCTAATTTTCTTCCAGTTTCTCCAATGTAGAATTCTGGCCGGTTATTGCACGTTATTTTATAAATGACATTGATATTGTGTGATTCTATATAATTTTTATTCATTTTATGGCCTTGTTTTTGAGAGAATTTAAAGTCAATAAGAATTTTATGTTTAATGGCAAGTTTTCTCCAAATTTATTTCATAATAACAATATTTTGAGTACTTGATAGTTGGAATAATCAGAAACATTAATTTTGATTAGTTGAATAGTTTTATGACATTAACCAATTGAATCATAATTTTTGATCAGTTGATTATATTACATGACTCTAATCAATTATATTGATTCAAGTTACTCACCCAGCTCTACTGCCAGTTGTACCTCCTGTTTAACCCTCATATGCCTAAAGTAGCTTCAGAATGGAATGGGTATTCATGATATGCCATTCGGAGACATACTTGGCTTACTTCTTATATGGAGAATGATACACAGTTCAACAATATTTATGATAACTCTGAGCTTTCATAAAATATCTTCAAAATAATTGGTAAGATTTTGTATTATCATCAATGCAGAGTGCAATGAAATGTTTAAAATTAAGAAATAGAAAATGTACATACCTTTTAATTTTCCATCAAGACAACAAAACAGAAGATTAAGAGTTTTTTAAAAGTATCTTTTGAAATAACAGAATTAAAACAGATAATATAAAACACTGAATTATAACATACATTAAAATGCTAATTTCCTTGACATACATTGATAGTAAAGTTGCTTAACCCTAGTGCGACAGGTCACGTGTCAAAGGCCATGTCATCACATTTGTTGACTTGCATTCAAAATTTTATTGAACAACTATTTTATGAGCTTATGTCAATAAGTTTGGTATCAAATTGTAGCTTATAATTCAAATTTTAGTATTATGTCAGTTAATTTCTTAAGTTAAAAGTAAATATTAAAAAAACACAGCTAAATAGTGATTTTTGTATGTCACGTGGTATGTTGAATGCAACACTGGTTCAAATTAGATGTTTGTGATGTCAAAATACAAAGCATATAATTTTGTACGAATTAGGAACTCAAATTAATGATATTGACAAGCTAGAATATAAAATAACAACATCTTATCTTTTCTATATGCTATGATATCTCTCATATACTGAATCAAACACAGTGGCCCCCTGCCAACATCTTTCCAATTTTGGAAACACTCTCTTATGTACACTTACTTCTGTATATGACATGAATAACAAATCAAAAGCCCAGAATGTACCCCAAGTGGTTTTCTCAGCCATTTTGACGTGTTATTGTGTTAATCTCATTCTTTTCACACAAAATGTCAGAGGATAAGGTAAGTTTTTATTGAGCCTGAAATTTCATATTTTTTAAACCCAAATTATAGTGGGATTCTATGGTATTGATATAGTAATTTATGATTTTTTTGGTTATTTAAAATGTATATATAAAACTTAAAAAAATTCTCTTTTCACATCCTCCACGTGGGAAATTTCATAAGGCTTAGCAACCTGTGACAAGTGGCAAACAAGTACAAAGGGCAAAATTAGAAGAGATAATTGTTTGTTTTGCTTCTTTATTTACTGTTCTATGTTTGAAGAAAAATAAGTTTGAGAAATTATTTCTAAATAGCATTAATGTATATACATATATAATGTATAATAATTGAAATGTGACTGTATATTACAAAACACATCCAAGGCAGGCATTTTTTTAGATTAAAGGTTAGTTTTTTATTATTGGATATGGTATCATAAGTGCACGTGAGCTGCATCATTGTAACCTCTGTATTGTTAGCTAGGCATGGCTGGAAGGTCAATATAATAAAAATAATAAATATATATAAATGTATAATGTTATGATATTTAAGCTATTTAGACTAAACACTTGTGTTTTTGTGTTATAATCTGTAATCAGTCTAGAATGAAAAAGGCATAACTTAAATTTATTTCCTAATTTTTTATGATGGTTACAAGGCCAGTCAAATTGAGAGACTCCATAGAGTTAGGGTAGAAAAAATAACAAAATAGAATATAAAGTTCTACTGAAAACAAACATTTGAAATGTATTTATGAGGTTTTAGAGATTACACAAATAATATTTAAGAGTTTTGTGACATACAATAGTTTTTTTTAGTTTTAACATGAAAATCACTTTGCACTTGGACTGGTAACGAAACAGACTCAATATTTTCACAAACAAATCTATAATAAAAATACTTCATTAAAAAACTGGATTTTTTGTATATGAAAAAATTGTAATCTTTATTAAAAGTCCACCAAATTTTGTGAAAATACACTTACTGCATTAAACGTTATAGTATAAATACTTAACTCATCCTGAAAGGGTTAATTAAATTTTGA